GAAGTCCGACTCACTGCCTTCACGTGGCGGAGTTGTTTTTCACCGAAGTGAGAGGGCAAAAGCAAATGCCCGGTGCTCTTCACCGGGTTGACTGTCCACTGGATGACAGTCTAGGGGAGATGGCTAAACCCTGATTCCAAACCCCCAACGACTGGCGCATGAAGCTCACCGGCAGACGTATGGACAAAGGGCTTGTTGGATGCCCTGGATGTCTGGCCCCATTCAAAAAGGCGAATGAACCGGACTCCGGTCACCGGCTGCCAATGGATAGTGGACTTCCTACTCCACTCCTACTGCCTTGTAGGTCACACCTGGTTGTGTAAAGGCTTGAGCTGCACTCTCAAACAAAGGCCGAGCGATTCTGGGGACATCACTCGTACCTAATTCCCATGAAACTTCATGAACTCTCTACAACATCAACCAAATTCCAGTACTGGTCCAACAACGTCGCCTTCGGTGGTTTGGCCATGTTCTGCACCGACCAGATGACGACCTGGTCAAATCAGTTCTGAATCCCTCGCCATTTCCATCTTGGCGATGTCGCAGGGGTGGACAGCTGAAAACATGGCTTGGTACAGTCAAGGCTGATATGGAGTGTCTGGGGCTACAAACCGTCTACGGCCTCCGTCTGTGGAACAAGAATTGGATAACCCTGTCACAAAACCTTGCATCAGATCGCCGCGCCTGGGCGGCGATGATTCGAGATGTTCATGAAGCCGGCTCATCCTCCCGTAGGAGATAGGCGAGGTAAAGTAAGTAAGTAAGTAAGAAAATGGCATATGAAATGAGTTTGTATAACTAACGAAAACTTGTAAATTGGGAAAAAGAGAAACCGTTAATATGTCTAACCTCAGCAGAGATGATGAAAACATTTCACCAAAAACTTATAAATTGTCGTCACTTTAATTCCACTGAATTTTTTCCTTTAATTTTCTTTTCTTGTTTGATTTGACTATTTTGACTTCTACTCAACTTATTTCAATAACTTTGATTCAATGTAATCGGCAACTCTTACATCACATATGCTTTTAATTTCGCAAATATCCATACGCGTATAATATCCAACTTCCTAATTTGTAATTTTTCTATCAATTAAAATAGCTTTCCATTCAACTCATTATCAATGCAATTACGTAATAACAAATATCATAATAACCCCAAACTACGAGGTTGCATTGTAACCGGAAGGTTGTGGGTTCGAACCCCAGCGGGTGCATAGCAACCTACCGATGTTTCCCAAACTAAGCTGACGAGACAACTATTCAGCACTCTCTCTCTCTCTCTAATTCTCTCTCTGGTCTTCAACTTTTCTCTAACTGATATCAATCCGTGATCATACTTGAAACAAGTAAGTTTCGGTCTGTTAACTTGAGATGCCTTTCAAGCAATCACATCTAGTTAAATCCAACGTGATACAGTTATCTGTATGCCTCCATGGTTTAAGCATTCGATTCCCAGCTAATGGGTTCCAGGTTCAAAACTAGTTCAACCTACTGGAGGAGCCTGAGTAATTGTGTAACTGTATAATCAATTCACACAGACACACACGAATTGCAGATAGAAGCCAGGCAAAAGTCAGAACACACGGGTGTTTATTACTCTGAAATCCATGTGAATACCTACACTATTCATCAGCACAATAAATACAACCTGAATTTTCAGCAATAATGTCAAGTCAGTGCTGAACACATGGCTCAGAACACTTGATGGTATGTACGGGTCACCACCATCAATAGCCTTTCCAACCAACTGTCACAAACTTTCATCAACAGCTGTCGCTTTTACAGTCTCGATACCGACGATCTAATGGCTGACCAGATAGGATAAGCAGACTACTGATTTTCAAGTAGGTGCTGATGAGTAAACCCAAACTAGGACGAAACAGCTTTCCAGTACTCCTCGGTTTTTAGCCATTCTAAACATGATATAAATCCGTGATCAAGATGAAATTAAAATCAAATCCCTACAAACGTATGTTTGTAAATCAATCTAATGCTCATTAGTGATGAAATTGCCTGCAGGGTCCATTGGCTCGGGTGTGAGGACGAATACTCCTCCCCGTGACATTGGTTGATAATCGAGTTAAAATCACGTATTGACAGAAGTTTTATCGAAGACTTACAAGCGAAAACCGACTGACAAACTGATCGAAGAAGCAGCCGGCGAAGACAGGACTCCAGGTGAACATAGACAAGACGGAGGTGATGAAAATAACCAACCAACCAACAACAATAACAGCAGCAGCAACATCCAGCGCCAATCACCATCAATGGGAGGGATTTGAAAGAGGTTACCTCATTCATTCACTTATCATCTAGGAAGCATTGTCTCAACTACAAGAAGTCGGAACGGACGAGGATGTCAAATCGAGAGAGAATCGGGAAGGCAGGCAAGAAGCACATTCATCAACCAACCTGAAACAACCAATCTGGAAATCTTCGTCACTCAACTCAGCATCAACAACAAAACTCAGTCGGATTTTCAATACAAACAACGTCAAGTCAGTCAGTTCTTCTATACGGATCAGAAGCTTGGCGCGCGGGTCACAAAGAATATTTCCACCAACAGCCTGTTGCAGACCTTTATCAACCAACAACTGTCTTCGCTGGGTCTATACTGAAGATCAATCAGATGGCCGTGTCGGAAAGAATCACCAACAAGAAACTATAGGAACAAACAAACAAAACAAGAACCAATCGCCAACCAACAAATATGCAGGAGATGGAGTGGAGATGGATTGGACACTCGGTGAGGAGACCACTGGGTGACATCGCGCGCGCGTCAGGCCATTGCTCGAGTGGAATCGGGCCGAAAGGGAAGTGGCGAGTGGGACATCCAAAGGTGCAAGCGTGACATGGAGGAGATGGTGTGAAGAGGAGTTGAAACAGAATGGACTGACTAACATGGATGCAGGGGAAAAGTACAGCAGAAGACAGAAGTGGCAAGTGGAGACGTGCAGTTTAAGCCCTATGTTCCACACTGCGAACCCAAGGGAACAATAATAATAATAATAAAATTGACAGAAGTTAGAAATCATGGACCGTTGGATTCCAACGCAGCAGATGAATGGACAACATACTCGACTCGTAACCTGGAAGTCCTGATTGTGTATTGCAGATGAGACACATCTAGAGAGCACCACACACCAGAATCTAAAGTTGAACCCGAACAGGAGGTGACAGGTTGGACAGTCCGACGACGATATGATGCCGAGTCATTTGAACAGAGAAAATGAAAGAAAGCATCCGCAGGATCGGATCTCATTTGGTGAACAAATTCCGACATTATCAACTATGATAACACAAACACACACACACACTCACACTAATAGGAGAACTAACAATGCTCTAGATTTAAAAAACACAAAATGGAATTTACTGGGTCATATTTCTGAAAATAAGACAAAATTAAATATATTCCAATGGTCTCCCCCCTCTTTGTTATTCATTACCTCTTAAACTAGTATTGATCCCCGTCAAAAAAGACTGATGAGGAGTGATTGCAGTGAGTTATTTATCAACACAATATATGAATACATAATACTTATATGCATGTGGTGAAATCAATTAACACAGATGCACAATTAAATAATTAACACATGTGATCTGTCATTGTAAAGGAGGATTGAATTGAAAAAGTTGAATTCGAGTGCCATCTAGCCTCTCTCTCTCTCTGTTTCTCCCAATTTATTCATCGAGAGTGCACACCCACACACGCACTTCGTATGCTTTCTACATACTTCATTTTTTAATGTAGACTGTGGTGTGTTTGATTCACAAAGTAAAAAAAACAGTGTTTTGAAATCTACCAAGTGAAATATACTTTAAACACACATTATTATGATCGACAAATTTATTATTATTAATCCCGATTTGGAAAGTACCATCAGCCGGTGCCAACGGATTGATCTCTGACGAAATCTCAGCACGGATACAGGGGGCTAGTTTCGCATATGCCAGTTTACGCCGTCTCTGGCGTAAACGTGGTATCCGGCTGGCTATCGACCAAAGGGCGGGTGTACTATTCAGCTGTCCGATCCGTCCTACTTTATGGCTAGCTGTGAGACCTGGCCATTGAGAGTGGAAGACATGAAAATGTCAGCTAGTTGCCCTTGATCATGGGTGCCTGCGTTCTATCTCCCATGTGAAGTGGAATAATAGGGTGAGCAATATTGCAGTTAGGCTTCGGTCGAGTGCTAGGTGAGGAGGGAGGGGAAATTACATCGACTGAGATGGTTAGGACATGTGTTACGCTTGCAAGATTAGCCATCGCCTTCCTCGACCGACAAACAATGTTAGCTGACATAGGGTCAGGTTGGAAAAGAGTATGAACTGGTCAAACACAAAGATGCCACCAGTCAATGAAATCTACAACAGTTAGTATAAGCCACGCAGGAAAGTGTAGACTTCCTGATTGAATGGTTGGGGTCCTCGGGACGGTAAACACCAATGGCTGGAAACAATTGGTGATATGGCTCAAACTCATTGTTCTCAATGGCTAGCGCAGATGCATCCACTCCTTGTGATTTGTAATAATTTCCAATGGAACTATAGTGTTCTTCGTTATTACTATTCCTTTGTCTCACGCCTCTGTTTACTGTCTCTATTATGCATTTCTTTTACTTTCTTCTCTTGATTTGTGTGCTACATGGAGGGAGTGTGGCAACTTGAACTGGTGCACATCAGTGGAAAGTTCAATGTTGAAAACGGACGGATAGACAGACAGTTATTTAATGAGGAATATATACGCCTCATGAGGAGAACAATTTAGAGAGGAGGAGGAAGAGGACGAAGATATTAATGATTTATTAGTGGAATATACTTCTTTCTTTTTTTCTTATTCATCATCAGCAACAAGCAAGTGTATACGAGAGAGAAAAAACCCAACTTTTTATGTAGGACGCGGCAAAAGAAAACAAACCATCAATTTTAACACCAGATTCATGAATAAATAATTCATAAGGTAGGTATTTGAATTAAATCAATACTGCATATACTTACCATAAAGATTTATTCCGTAGTACTGGAGGCTTGTAACTACGCATGCCAAGAATACGTAATGCTCTACAAATACAAATGAAAACAGTAGAAGAATACATTTTTTTCAAGAAATAAATATACAATATGTGATTATTATTTATTGTGATAACTAGAATACTTTTTATTTTTATTTTATTTTTTGATTACAGCTTGATTCCCCACACTGTATTTTTGGTACAAGTATGGAATTTTCAGCGTGGATATCGGTAGCCCAAATTTTGCAGGCCGACCATAGATATCAGGTGTGCGTCGGCAGGGGATCGAACCTTGGACCATGTGCATGATCGGTGAGAGTCCTAACCACTGTGCCACCGACGCACATACAAAATAACACATATATATTCGCGATTGTACAGCTAAGAAAATGAATTCGCCGAAAAGAGACTCTTCGCTGATCTACGTATTTTGTTTTCATTAATGCCTGGATGGGGATTTTCCATTATTGTCTCGTTAGTATCAACTGACGCGAAAGACTAACGACCTCAGTACAACATATGGTATTCTTACAGTTCGCAGGCCAGCATATCCCATTAATTTCACATTTGATTTTAGAAATTCTCCTACTTATAAATTATTTGAATATTTACCTACAGAATTAAATCCTATTTAAAAACCACTCAAAATCTAAACTTCCCAATTCTTATGAACTGAAACACAAACTGGAGTAGTTAAAATTACGTAGGCAACATGAAAACATGGTTAGTTTCCACATCATCAGTTTATACACACAAATACCGATAAATACGATCACAGATTCGGTCAGAAACAGACTCATACCGGACCTGAAACTTCAAATTGCAACAAAAATACCACTAGACGGTATCAAAATAGGAGTGAACTTATATCCGACTTCTACATCATTTCAACTCCAAGGGAAATTGTACAAACAAACTGAGCGTACCGGCAACAGATCACCAATATCCCCTACAGTCACAGGTACATTTGTGGATACACTGGAAAACTTAGTGACTGAGACGTTCAGACCCAACCCCAAAATATGGCGGAGGTATGAGGACAACATATCACAGTGGTAAACTAAGTGTAGTAGTGCTAAGGGATTTCTCAGTCGAGAACTGAGAGTTGGTCAACAATAATAACAACAACAAAGATTAGACAACACAAACAAAACTAACACTCTTACACATCAATGTGGTTAATAGTGACTGATAGTGGAGTTTAGACGATGTGCATTTCCTCCTCTTATTCGAGACTCGCATCAACTGAACTTATCTGTTCCTCAATAGAACGGTGGTGTTCTCACTAGGTGAAACTCGAACTCAGCACCACCCTTCATCCCTTCAAACGATGACATAACGCGTTATCTATTAGATCAATGATTAATCACAGTCACAACTTGTGATCTATCTACTATGCTTTTGTGCTTTTAGCATTTGAGACGACGGGTACTCGGTTCGAATATCCATGAAGACACTATCACACTCAAAAAATGATTCAGGTACATCTAGATGACGAGTATTAACACAGAACAAAAGCCACCCTTAAGAATTCAATGCTTGGCACTACCAACCAAGTAACATTAAGTTAGCCTAAAGGGCCAAGTTAAACTTTAAGCACCACTAACTACCAATGGTGTGCGACCGAACCAATGACCTTGAAACACTGAGCAAGTTGATGCAACCTGGCAAATAATGGTGTCATTATCAATAAAATATTCTTATCGAAGTGTTATGCTATTAAATGAAATATCTAGCAAGTTTCAGCTTATGTTTGGGAAAGATTAAGTTAAGCTTTAAGCTAAGGACAAGTTAGGGTTAGGTTAACCTAATCTAGGCGACTTTAGGGTTGGTTCGAGATAGATTACAGTTAGTTTAGGGATGTTGTCACGTTATAGTTGGGTCTAGGAAAGATAACGGTCATTGTTAGGATTAAAACACCTAAATAGTTACATGCATAGAATGTGGTTGTGTACTGTGGTAGAGTGAAATTCTGTTGAGGGTAAAATTTATTTTGATAAAGTTTCAGTGTTATACAGTAATAATTTACTGATGACCACGTTTCAAGCACCATTAATTGCTCAATAAATATTACTGTATAACATTATGAGACTTTATTAAAATAAATTTTACCCACAATGGAATTACACCCTGTTGATACTCCCAACCTAAAACTGAGAGTTATTTTTATCAAATGTAAGAAAAAGGTATCCTCTGTAACACTTTTCTACAGTTTTTTTTTCATAAATATATGTACTCCATACACAAAAATGCCTCCTTCATGTGATTGGTGCGTTCAAGGTCATTTGCTGATTGGTAGTAGTTAGTGGTGATTAAAGTTTAATTGACCAAGATTCATCGGTTAGATATCGTCTACTGAACAGAAGCCTCTCAGATCCTAATTTTTGTTTATAATGTATCATCTTCTCCAAGTTCATTCACAATCGAAAATCAATGCAAAAAGAAAACTTAAATAAAATAGACACTTAATATAGAGGACTGACTGTACATCGGCAATCACCATTACCTCAAGTTCTACTCAGGATTTAGCAAAGAATAAAGAAAGTCCCTATTAGAACGACTTAGAAAGCATTAAACTGAGCAAAGTTCACGTCAATGCCACATTCACATAGAAGAGAAGTTAACGGAGTCAGTTCATACGGATTAGATAAGTCAATTTGTGCAGTCATCGGCCTTTGCTTTGGGTACCTTCTTCTTCTCCCCAGAAATGTGAAAATGGACTATTTCTACTCTACCTATGCTATTATTACTTGAATTATCATACCAGTTAGCTTACAAATGACTTCTAATTATTTTTCTGTAAAATTGAACTGAATAATATGGTCATCATTACGCTTTTTTCAACAAACAAAATACGATGAATTATGTGATTGCTTGTCGTTTAAATTTTTTATAATTTCGTTGAGTAATTATTTCTAAAATACAATTATTGCCTAAATTTCCTTTGTTAGCTTGGTAAATAATTTCAGGATTTCATTATGAACTGAAATCGGTTACAGGATGATTGGAAAACCACCACCTGGAAGTACTGGACAACTGTTTTTTTTTTCAAAAACCTAGTTTGGAACTCTTCAGCAGCTTTTTCAAACGGTTCTCCTCTAACCGAAATCAGTTCATGATGAAATTTTGAAAATAATCAAATCCTTGCAAGCCGACACTCTATAATGATTGTTAACAATATATTGGGATGTATATATATATATATATATATATATATATATATATATGAGCAAGAGGGGCCACTTCATCACTCTGAAATCAGAGGTAAATCAGTATAAAGAAAAGGATACGGATTTCGGTGATCTTAAACTAGAACAGTCCAAAACGAAACTACCTAATGAATGGATTAATGACATTGAGCAACCATCAATCAGATGAGTCGGTAATACATAGGCGCAATTATGGATGCTATATATACCGATTATGCAGTAAATTTCATCCAAGTAGGTCTAATATTTACTGTACTATATTTAGATAACAGCCTCTTATAGGAAGGGAGAAAAAGTTGTAGATGATGAGGTGTGATGCATTTTTGCAAAGATGCACCCATTGCATTGATGGATCAATTCGAGAAGGTATACCGTTCTTTTTTTAGTTTATAGATACTACTGTAGGTAATTTCTCTGCTAAGTCTAAGTTTCCTTGAACGGCAATTATGATGATGTGACACAAATGGGTTTCCAAAAGACCAGTTACAGCTACGGCATTCGAAAATAAGAATTCACGAGTGACTGCAGTGCAGAGATATAATGTCATGGAAAATGAACAATATGACCCAAACACGTGGCGGTGTCGATGTATAACGGTTCATAGGGACGAAACAGTGCATACAAAAAAGGATATACAATCGCGGTAGACTGAGTGCTAATTAACAGTGGATTCTGGGATTATATGAAACCATCCTGAGGAAAGGATATATTCAGATGATTCCTGATCGTAGTGCCACTGTCTTATTTACCTATTATTCGTTTACTCTCGCCTGACACAACCAATCACACAGACCAACAGAGCAGTGACAGACAACTGTCATCCCAGGGCGATTTCGTTGATCCTTTCGATGGGACTCATACAAATTCCATTGAAAGTTTCTGGAGTCACTTAAAAAGGAGAATCAGAGAGGTGAATAGGTGTTTCAAGAAACACGATGATTAACAGTTATCTCGACGAATTTATGTACAGAAACTGGTTTAACCTAACTACCGGAACTCCTATGAGAAATTTGGAGGTTTTTTTTATTAAAGTTTGATTCCACGTCGTATTTTTGGTAGAAGTACGGAATTTTCAGCATATGATTTTGCAGACCGACCATTGATATCAGGTGTGCGTCGGCAGGGGATCGAATCCTGAACTATGTGCATGGTCGGCGAAAGTCCTAACCTGCTGTGTCACTGGAACATATACAAAAACATTAACCTATGTAACTAATTTTTAACATTTGATTATTTATACATAAACGTTCCTTTCTAATTACGCACTTTTACTTCGCTGACACATCTGATCGGTCGACAGAGATTTGTCAAGGTCATCATTAGGTAATTCCGTTTTGGGACGCTACAGAATAGAGTAACCTACATTTCTAACACGTACATCAACTCAGTCAGTGCTTCTAGTATGATTCAGAGACTTGAAGCATGTTTCACCCGAAAAACATTCCCAACGAGCTAGTGCAGACTTTCACCAACTACTGCCTTCAGTCCATACTAGCTAGACAAGCTAGACCGCTTGAAAACGACGTCAATGATTTAAACTGTTATTTGCAAAGTGACATTCATAAATTCCAACCAAGATCTTCAATACAACACTTGTCAAAAATATTCAAGTATTGGTTTGTAGGCATTTGATTGATTTCACTATGAGCTGACATTGGTTAGAGAACGATTGGAAGACCTGGGAGTACTGCTAGACGGCTCTTTCTCTAGTCCTATTTTGGGACTCTTCATCAGTACGCACCCACCGGAGTTCGAACCAAGGACCTTTCGGTCAAAGGCGAGCTCGTAGACCATTAAGCCACTGGGACCCGGTCCAATGGCCCATGAATTCTAATTCCAG